CTTACTATCTTTCGTATCACATAAATGTGTTTATACTGTATCACATTCTAAATCAGCTTGATTTGCTTGGTTCTGGATAGGCAAACATACTTTAATTTTTCTATTCTTGGCAAGATTCAAACCCTCGTAAAGAAATCTGGAGGAAGGGCTTAAGTGTGGAGGAATCGAAATTCAGAGGGAAAAAAATGAAAATTGTTCCTGTAAAGCAGACTTTCAGTTGACCCCAAATTATGATTAGTGATAGGCAAGGAACACCAAGTACTGTTTTTCTCAATCAATCTTTTATCACTGTCACAGATCAGAATTAAACCTTCTTTTTCTAAAACAGTAGCGTAACAATCTTTGACAACAAATATCCCTGCATTCACGCACAGACTTTTAACTTTTCATCTGCCCTGGCAGTTCAGTTTCCGTTTTAACATCATTTCAGTAACTGATCTTAAGTTTCCATCTCTCTCTCCTTTAGCAGATCTGCCTTTTGCATTCTCTTTAGTATTTTCCAACCTTTATTTTTTTATTTTTTTGCAAATCACACGATTGTCCAAGATTAACGACCATCTTTCATGTCCTAGATGAAAAGATTAATCTGAAATGAAGAGATTACTTTAAAATTTCTTAGATTACTCTTTTAGAGATGAAAAGATTAATCTGAGATTTTTTAGATTTCTTCTAAGATCTTAGAGCATTTCTTTCCTTGATGCTATCCTGCAAACTTGGTTAGTTCTCTAAACGGCAAAAAAAAAAAAAAAAAAAAAAAAGGAAGCTCCTTGGTGTCTGGCTAGGCAAGACTGAAATGACCTTGCCTATTGGCTAACAAAAGAAAAAAAAAAGCAGTTTGGAGCAACGGTTAAGGCATCGGTCAAAAAATTGGGAAGTCTGGGTTCTAGTCCCACCATAAGCACAAAACAAGCCTTGGGCCAGTCACTCTCTCTCAGCCCTAGGAAGGAGACAATGGCAACCAAATTCCAAATAAATCTCTTTCTTTCTTTCTTTCTTTTTCTTTCTTTCTTTCTTTCTTTCTTTCTTCTTTCTTTCTTCTTTCTTTCTTTCTTCCTTCCTTCCTTCCTTCCTTCCTTATTTTATTTTATTTTATTTTATTTTATTTTATTTTATTTTATTTTATTTTATTTATTTGTCAACAAGTAGAAGGAAACAAGTAACAGTATAGACACAGACATGGACACATGAAAAAAATTGGCACAAATAAAAGGATATAAATAGGCAAAACATAGCAATAAACACATAGAATGAGTACATATAAATGGAGACAGTAGGACAGGGACGGAAGTCACGCTGGTGCGCTTATGCACGCTCCCTTAGGGACCTCTTAAGAAACATGAAAGGTCCACGGGAGACAGTTTAAGGTCAAAGGTCTGGGGGTTAGAGAGACTAACAACAGAATCAGGTAGAGTGTTCCAGACACTTACTACTCTATTGCAGAAGTCATATTTCCTACAATCAAGATCAGAGCGAATTATATTGAGTTTGAATCTATTGATAGCCCTTGTGTTATTACGGTTGAAGTTAAAGTCCTCATTTACAGGTAGGACTTTTTGGTAAATAATCTTATGAAGTAAGTCTAGGTTAGAACGTAGACGGCATAGTTCGAAGCTATCCAGACCTAAAATTTCAAGCCTGGTGGGATAGGGTATTTTATTTCAAGCAGAGGATTTGAGTGCTCTTCTAGTAAAATATCTCTAGAACCTCTCTAGTGTATTGATGTCTGAAATACAGTGGGGGTTCCAGGCAAGTGAGCAGAACCTTGCCAAGAAAACTGCAGAGACTAATCCACCAGTTGCCAGATTCAAAACTGATGCAAAGGCACGAAAGCAACCACTTGGCTAACAGAAGAGAATCAAGAAAGAGGTACTTTGCACGATGTATGTTTGCACTGATGTAATTGCCAAATAATGTTCAGTGTATTTTCTGCTCAGTGGTTCCAAAACTGTGGCTACATAGCTGGATAATTTTTTTATGACATTTGTCCTTCTGCCAGGAACTTGCTTTCTAATACCATCTTGATACACAGAGAGATTTTACGCGGGTCCTATCAAAGGGGTGCACAATTTAATCATAAGTTTATTTGTCAAGCATATATAAGATAACAGGTAAAAATATAAACATAATTTGACTACATGAAAAGAGTAAGAGTAAAAAGGAATATTAGGACAAGGACGGTAGGCACGCTGGTGCGCTTATGCACGCCCCTTACAGACCTCTTAGGAATGGGGTGAGGTCAACAGTAGACAGTTTAAGGTTAAAGTTTTGGGGGTTTGGAGAAGAAGCCACAGAGTCAGGTAGTGCATTCCAGGCATTGACCACTCTGTTGCTGAAGTCCTATTTTCTGCAATCAAGTTTGGAACGGTTTACCTTGAGTTTGTATCTATTGTGTGCTCATGTATTGTTGTGGTTGAAGCTGAAGTAGCTGTTGACAGGAAGGACATTGTGGCAGATAATTTTATGTACTATGCTTAGGTCAGACTGAAGTTGGCGTAGTTCTAAGTTGTCTAAGCCCAAAATTTGGAGTCTGATGGCATAGGATATTTTATTGCGGTTAGAGGAATGGAGGACTCTTCTCGTAAAATACCTCATATTTCACATTCTCGTAAAAATTTCCAGTATTATCTCTCCTTGCAATTATATTTTGAAGTTGTGAGGTAGAAGTGAAGGGCAAGCCACTCCAGTAAATGCAGGAGATTGCACGGAAAAGAAAAAAATCGAACTGAATTGTTCAGTGTGATTGGGCTCCAGCCACAAGAAAGGATCTTAGAGAATTTGTGTAAGAATGGCCTTTCAACCATTTTGATTCGAGGCACAAATGTCCAGGCTCAAATTATTCTACTTTGGACGTCTTAAGAAGCCTCTGGAGAAGGTTCTGATGCTGGAAAAGATGGAAAGAAAGAAAAGAAAAGGACAGCCAGAAACAAGGTGGGGGGGGTCTCATTTACAGTGGTGATGGGGAGTGGGGCACCCTCATGAAGATCTGAAGGACCAGCTTGGGAATAGATCCTCTTGAGGTCTCTAAGAGTTGAAAACAACTTGATGGCGTAGAATCAGTCAAGAATTGTTTGAACAATGAAACAACTGCCCCTTTTTGGACACTATTTCTTAATAGTAGACATTTAGAGCTTTTGGGAACCTCTCACAAACTGGATATCAAGGCAATCAACAGCCTACTGCTCTTGAACATGGAGTTTCATTTGGGTTGTCTAGGAGATTCTCATTTCGTGTGGGTGGTTTGCTGTCTAAAAGCTGTCTTGTACAGTCATTCACAACAACCGCTGCTGTTCCTGACCTCCCAATTGATAAGTCGTTTAACGCTCTGTGTACCTCTATTTATGTACACCTGTTCTCTACTTTATTTGTTCTGCAGTACGAGTTACAGTAACAGTAACAGAGTTGGAAGGGACCTTGGAGGTCATATAGTCCAACCCCCTGCTCACACAGGAGACCTATACTAGGGATTCGAACCGCCGAACTGCCGACCTTTCTAATCGACAAGCTCAGAGTCTTAGCCACTGAGCCACCTAGTCAGGCTAGGTATGAAGTTTCTTAGGAAATGCAGCAGAAACAATTCTGTAAGATCTAAGGAAAAAAAATGGAAACTTACCCTAGGAAGTCCCTTGACCCCACAAACAAATATCTTTTTAAAGTGGGATACATTTCCATTTAGCTGTTGGGCTTAGTGACTAGAGACACAGTAGTAGAGTTCAGTACTAGAAACTATGAGATCGTGAGTTCTAGTCCTGGATGAGTTTAGCAGATTACTCTGTCCAAGCTTTACCTATCTCACAGGGTTGTTGTTATGGAAGGAAAAATAGGAGACAGAATCTATAGTATATGCACCACCCTCAGTTGTACGAGAGAAAGCAGAGCTATAAAAATAATATTTTTTTTCTTTGAATAGCTTATAGCCTTCCTCAAATGGGGAGGATAGAGATCCCTCTTCCTATTTCAGCTCCTTCCTTTTTTTAAAAAAAAGTCTTTTTCTATTATTTCCTTTTCTTGTACCTGCTTGTCTTTTAAAATCCCATGTAGAGCCTGCTGCTTTTTCAAGAAGACAATTCTCCATCGGAAAAGGGAAATTAAAAAACGAAACAAAAAAACACCCTTCCAAACTGTTTTGGACTACAGCTCCCATCATCCCTGACTGGCATATTATCTGGGGTGGATGGGGAGATGTACCTCTACTCATTTGGAGAGGAGGTGTCTGGTTAAGGAAGAAAAGCCCTTTTCAATGTAAGGAACTAAAAAAGGCGTGAGAAAAACCAATTTAAATAATATTGATTTTTCAATCAGCTTTAAACGGCTGATCGCTCTCCAAGGGATACCGACTTTTCTCAGTGAATTCCTCCTCTGAAATCTTGTCCTTAGAAACTCTGAAGGTGTACCAATAATATTTAAATGGAAGGAAAGAACCCTGCTATTCTAGCCAAAGACAGTTTTTCCATTTGGGGGGGGGGACAGGGGGAGAAACCCAGAGCTGGAAACGCAGGAGAAAAACAACTTGATGACATTTGACTCTTCCCCCCCAGATGAATAAATCTAGTAAGGAAACTTTCAGAAAGGTAGATTTCAAGTCGAAAAGTCCAAAAAACAACAACAAAAACCTTGTGTAAACTTTACTCGGGGGTTGTAAACTGGAACTCCCTGGGAAGAGTTTACTAATTGTGTTTGGGAAAGAATGGGGATAAAAGAAGAAATGCACCAATGCCCTAATCCTGGTTTGAGCAAATCCAGTTGTGTAAACCCTCGCAAAACTCATGCACTGTCAGAAACCCCTATCAGAGGCTGCAAAGATCATCCTTCAACTCACTTCATGCTTTTCCAAACAGAGATTATTATTATTATTATTATTATTTTCCGGTTGCTTCTGTGCCCAACCAACCAGGTAGAATTTGACTCTTTGCACACCTGCAAACATCCTTCCCCCAAAGTTGGCTCCCTTGCAACCCTCCATGAGCCCAGCACTAAAGAGAAAAGCAAAGTCGTCCTCTTACCTCTGAAACGGGACCTCTGCCCTCCCGCTGCGCTGCCTGGTATTGTCTGTGCCGCCTGAGAAGCCTCCGAGATGAGGCAGGCAGGAGGTGTATATTGACGGGCACGGAGGTATCCTTGTCGCATGGCCTGGGTGGCTCCAGCCCCCTTTAAGGAAGGTGGTTTGGTCACATGCTACGCTACTCCCAGCCAAGGATCTGGCACAGAGGGATAAAGGAGGAGGAAAGTGAGAGAGGGAAGGAGGAGAGGAAGCGAAGGAATGGGGAAGGAGGAGGAGGAGGAGGAGGAAGAAGAGGGAGGGAGAGAAGGAGGGAGAGAGATGCAAGCCGGTGCCCAGAGAAAGAGAAGAGGTGGAGGGCGGGGGGAATCTTTACTTTAGGAAGAAGTAAAGAGAATTTCCAGGCATCCCTGACTGGCCCAAAGTTTTTTGCGTTGCTTCTCTTTTGTATCTGTGACTGCTGGCAACACGTTTCAAGTTTTTATTCAAGGAAGATGTAAAGAAAACTTGATGCTTCACCTGGTTTGGCCGTGGGGAGGTGGGTTGGAGTTTGAATGTGCTGCGATTTTTTTTTATGTTTTATTTTTTGTATTTGCACGTACACAGACTTCATCTCCAAACCACCTTTCCGCGTTCCTTTCCTTCCTAGCAAATGAAAATAATAATAATAAAAAATTCCCCGACTGTATTTGCTGTCTTGCCCGAAACCGTCTTTGTGACAGAGGTGACATGGTTCTTTATTTATTTATTTTGTTTAAAACCCTTCCAACTATGAGGATTCCAGCTTTTAGTCCCTAGAATATTATTTTGAAAGGAGGGAGAGAAATGGGCTGTAATATTAAGCAGTTAATTTCTTTTTCTCTCTCTTCTTTTGGGTCATGTATCCACAATCATGTTTATACTTTTATCTGTCATCTTATATATACTTGACAAAATAAATAAATAAAAAATAGAGGGGGGGAGCAGATCCCTAGTCTCTCTTCCCCCTTTATTTTGTGTGTGATGATGATTTTAACTTTTATAGATGAATTCCAATAAACGTGCCTCTATCTTAAATTTGGTATTCAATTTTTTAGGTTTTTTTTTAAAAAAAATATTTTTACATAGCCCAGAGTCCCTCCGTGAGGGAGATGGACTTTTTCTAAGTGTGATGAATAAATAAGTAAGATAAAGTGATGATGAAAAGGAATCTTTACTCCCAAATTTACAATCAAATTGTGTTTACAATCAAACATGAAGCCAAAAATAATGTTAAAAGGAGAAAAGGAGCTTCTCAGCTCCCAGTTTTTCAGAATGGACATAGCATATGAAGAAATTCCATAGAGTATTTGCTGACAAACCCTGATTTATTTTTCCTCAAGAAAAATATCCCTCCTTGAGGATACAATTCTCCGCCTTAGACACATAGGAAGCCTAATTAAGTTGCCCTCTTAATTTTACTGCATTCATAGAAAACAAACTAGAAACCAAATGAAATTTAGGGGTAGTGCTAATTACAGGCAAAAGGTATCTGGAGTTCAGAGCTTCAAAATTAATACAATACCACTTTATAAGGCCTTGGTAAGGCTACACTTGGAATACTACATCCACTTTTGGTTGTCATGACATAAAAAAAGATGTTGAGACTCTAGAAAGAGTGCAGAGAAGAGCAACAAAGATGATTAGGGGACTGGAGGCTAAAACATATGAAAAACGGTTGCAGGAACTGGGCATGTCTAGTCTACTGAAGAGAAGGACCAGGGGAGAAATGATAGCAGTCTTCCAATATCTCAGGGGCTGCCACAAAGAAGAGGGAGTCAAGCTATTCTCCGAAGCACCTGAGGGCAGGACAGGAAGCAACGGGTGGAAACTCATCAAGGAGAGAAGCAACCTAGAACTAAGGAGAAATTTCCTGACAGTTAGAATAAGTAATCAGTGGAACAACTTGCCTCCAGAAGTTGTGAATGCTCCAAACTGGAGGTTTTTGAATTTTAAAGTTTTATTGTTTTATTACTACACATTATGACAAACACATCACATACAACATATAAATATATCCTCTTTTTAACAAATGTTTCTTCGTGGTCTGCTTTCCACTGTGACTTCCCCCCCACCATGTCTCTCATATTGTTTCATTTTCTTCATTGTCCCCTTTTTGATTGATTACAATGTATTTTCTAATCCTAATAGCCTTAATCTTATACATTTCTATATATTTGTTTCAGATGCCTGAAAAACCCATTAATGCTTAACTTTTTTCCCTTAAAACAATTAGCTAAATCTATCTATCTATCTATCTATCTATCTATCTATCTATCTATCTATCATCTATCTATCTCAGGGGTGAAATGCTCCCGGTTCGGACTGGATCACCCGATCCGGTAGCGATGGAGGTGGGTGGTTCGGAGAACCGGTAACAAAAATCCCTGCCCCCCCCATGCCCAGCTGAGGCGCACGATCACCAGAGGCTTTTTTTTTACTTTTAAAAGAATTTTTTCTACAACCTCTTCGGCCGAAAAAATGCTTTTAAAAGTAAAAAAAAAAAGCCTCTAATGATCGTGTGGCTCAGCTGGGATCGTCAGAGGCTTTTAAAAGGAAAAAAGCCTCTGCTGATCAGGCAACTCAGCTTGGATCGTCAGAGGCATTTAAAAGAAAAATACCCTTTTTTTCCTTTTAAATGCCTCTGACGATCCAAACTGAGTTGCCTGATCGCCAGAGGCTTTTTTTTCCTTTTAAAAGCCTCTGACAATCCAAGCTGAGTTGCCTGATCGTCAGAGGCATTTAAAAGAAAAAAAGCCTCTGCCGATCAGGCAACTCAGCTGGGATCGTCAGAGCCTTTTGAAAGCATTTTTTTACAACCTCTTCGCCAAAGAGGTTGTAGAAAAAATGGTTTTAAAAGTAAAAAAAAAAATCCCAGTGGGATTTGGGGGCTCTTTGAACTGCACAGAATCTTAGCTAGAGGTTCTCCGGAATCCCTGCAAACCCCCTGCTTCCAACTTTGTTATTCTATTCTATTCTGCACAAATATTGACATTTCTGCCTTTACCATGTCCACAGATAGCTAACCAGAGGCCCTGTTTAGGCTGATCCAATCCTTACTCGGAAGAGCAGAGTCCGAAATCTACCTGTAGGATCTTTGCAAGGAAGAGCAAAAGCAAAAGTAAAATTACTCAGGTCTGCTGGAAGTTGGAAAAAGGCCATCTAGCGCAGAAAGCATATGAAATCTGACACCAGATAAAATCCTAGCTTTTCTTTTGGGCTAAACTGATATTTTCTAGCCTCAGCCTGACTTTGGCTCGATGGTATCAGGCTTCGTTTCCTGTCACCCCTAAACCGGTACTTACTAGGGCAACCTGGTTTGGCGCAGTGGTTAAAAGCACCATGAACAGAAACCAGGAACCTGGGAGTTTTGCCTTAGGCATCAAGCCTTACCAAGATGATCTAAGCCCAGTCCCTCTCTCTCAACTGTTAGAAGAAATAAATCTTCTGGGTTCAGCTCCAAGTGGGGAAAAAGACACTGGAAACATGGAGACTGCTTGGAAAGATGGTTTAATGGTGGACAGGATCACATAGTTTGAGTTCCTGAACAGAAAAGTGGGGAGATGCTGCGAGTCCCCGGGTTTTATGCCCTCTCTGGCTTTGAACTTCCTGGGGCCCAGAAAGAGTATCCTGATTGGTTGTCAGACTCCCAGAGGGTGGGGGTCTTAGCTAGCCTTGGTGGCTGATGTAATCTTCCCAGGTGCCATGTGGTGAGTTTCTGTCCTAGATGGGTCCTATTGTGTTGCAGATGATGGTCCATTGACAAAGATGGGAGGGAATTGAGTTTCTGCCTCTGGCCCATTAACAAAGGTGGGGGGGGCAAGAAGGTGGGAGCTGCTTCGTCTTTTAAAACATGCTTCTCCATTTCTCATCCAGGGAAACATAATATTCTGCCTTTTTAATATTTCCTAAAATATTTCATTCTTCTAGGAAAGGGGTGGGCGCTAACTTCCTACACAATCATACCAAGAAGACAAAGGCAAGCCACTTCCTCAAATGTTGCCCAGAAAACCACAAGGACTTATTCATGTACATCACCAGGAATCAAGTTTGATAGAGTCATTATGGGAATCAGTCTGATCTGATAAAGGAGAATATTTGTAGCTCAGGGTTGAAATGAGGAGTCCTTGGTGCTCTCTGAGCTTGCTTGGTTTCTTGCTGACGTTTCATTACCCAACTAGGGAACATCATCAGTGCTAGAAGGGAGTGGGGTTTGCTCTCCATTCTTATTCTAGTGGCTTGCCCTGTCAGTGTTGGTGAGAGTGGACTTGAAGGTTCTGTTGCCCTAACCAACCCACTGCCCTTGGGGCAGCAGAACCTCCAAGACTACCCCCCACCAACACTAACAGGTTGATTGTGAGTTCTAGTCCAACATGGGACACAGAGAAGATCTGGGTGACCTCCTTCTCTTTCAGACCTAGGAAGAAAGAAGCTGTCTGCTTTGTCATTCATGGCCATCTTCATTTTGGACTATTGCGATGTTCTCTATGTGGGGCTACCTTTGAAAGGTATCCAGAAGCGTCAACTTGTACTTATGACCATTGTAGGCCATTGGCATCTATTTATGATACTTGCAGTGTCCCCAGTCAAATGCGATTGCCTTTTGCAGAATCATTTGTAATGTTTTAAGGGCCCCGTTGCAATGTACGGCTGTGAAAGTTGGACCATAAGAAAGGCTAAGTGCCAAAGAATTGAGGGCTGATCTTTGGGGTCCTTGGTGCTCTCTGAGCTTGGTGGATTTCTTGCAGATATTTCATTACCAAACTAGGAAACCTCATCAGTGCACTTTTTAAACATCTACTCAATTTTAGTAGGGCAGCAGGACCCATCTCTTTACAACTTATTCTCATGTGTCGTTGCTTTCCTCACACCTGCTGAGAGACAGAAAAAACCATTCACACTGCTTATTTTGGGAGGTAGGGCTTATATTACGAGCATCCTGAAAAATTCCACTAGGGCTTATTTTCCAATAGATATCTCTTTAAAACATCCTCTTCCTTGGTGAAATTGCTTCATAACTCCCAGCTTGAAGGGCCAGGTTAAGTAGGAGACGGAATCTGTCGCAAGGCCAACATTTTAATTACAGTAGCAGAATTTCTCAC